GACGGGTTTTAAGTCTCTGTGAGTTCAAAGCAATCGAGTTGCATCAGCTGGCTCTAAAAATCGCAAAAGATACTGGAAACAAAGATGAGAAGGAACTGTATATAACAACCTTGGCCTTGGTTTACAAGTCTCTCTCAGTGAGTTAGCAGTCGAGTTTTAGCCCAGCTGGCTCTAAAAATCGCAAAAAAGATACTGGAAACAAAGATCAAAAGGAACTTGAGAGCATCAAACTTTGGCAGCTTACTCAGTCTCTAGTGAGTTCAAAAGCAATCGAGTTTTATCAGCTGGCTCCAAAAATCGCGCATACCAAAACAAAGATCAGCTATCCATATAATAAACCTTTGGTAGCTCTATCAGTTCCCCAGTGAGTTCAGCAATCGAGTTTTTTTATCAGCTGGGCTCTAAAAATCGCAAAAGATACTGGAACAAAAATGGAGAAGGAAGTACTTATAACAAACCTTATGTCGCCTATAATTCTCTCTTTAGTGATTTCCAAAAGCACTGGTTTTATCAGTTGGCTCTAGACCCAAAAGATACTGGAAACAAAGATCAAGAAGGAACTATATATAACAACGTTGGCCTTTGCTTATAAGTCTCTCTCAGTGAGTTCAAAAGCAATCGAGTTGTATCAGCTGGCTCTAAAAATCGCAAAGATACTGGAAACACAGATCAAGAAGGGGAAACTATATATAAATAAACTTGGCCTTTGTTTATAAGTCTCAGTGAGTTCAAAAAGCAATCAGTTGTATCAGCTGGCTCTAAAAATCGCAAAAAGATACTGGAAACAAAAGATAGTTGTACATTTATAAACCTTTATGTCGCCTATACCCTCTTAGTGATTTCTAAAAGCAATCGGGTTTTATCAGCTGGCTCTAAAGATCGCAAAAGATACTGGAAACAAAGATCAAGAAGGAACTATATATAACAACGTTGGCCTTGCCTATAAGTCTCTCAGTGAGTTCAAAAAAGCAATCGAGTTTTATCAGCTGGCTCTAAAAATCGTAAAAGATACTGGAAACAAAAATGGAGAAGGAAGTACCTATAACAACCTAGGCGTCGCCTATAATTCTCTTAGTGATTTCCAAAAAGCAATCGGGTTTTATCAGCTGGCTCTAAAAATCGCAAAAGATACTGGAAACATAGATCAAGAAGGAACTTTATATAACAACCTTGGCCTTGCCTATAAGTCTCTCTGTGAGTTCAAAAAAGCAATCGAGTTGTATCAGCTGGCTCTAAAAATCGCAAAAGATACTGGAAACAAAGATGGAGAAGGAACTATATATAACAACCTTGGCCTTGCCTATAAGTCTCTCAGTGAGTTCAAAAAAGCAGTCGAGTTTTATCAGCTGGCTCTAAAAATCGCAAAAGATACTGGAAACAGATCAAAAAGGAACTTTATATAACAACCTTGGCAGTCCTATCAGGCCCTCAGGAGTTCAAAAAAGTAAACGAGTTTTATCAGCTGGCCTCTAAAAAATCAAAAAAGATAATTGGAAACAAAGATCAAGAAGGAACTATATATAACAACCAGCAGTGCCTATCAGTCTCTGCGAGAGTTCAAAAAGCAATCGAGTTTTATCAGCTGGCTCTATAAATCCGCGAAAAGATACTGGAACAAAGATGAAGAAGAGCTATATATAACAAACTCATGAAAGCTCATTAGTCTCTTAATGAGTTCAAAAAGCAATCGAGTTTTATCAGCGCAAATCTAAAGATCCAAGAGATACTGGAACAAAGATGGAGAAGGAAGCATTTATAACAAACCTTGCGTCGCCTATAATTCTCTTAGTGATTTCCAAAAGCGTCCTTTATCAATACAAACACAAAATGGCAAAGATGCTGAAACAAAGATCAAGAAGGAACTATATATAAAAAACCTTGGCGCACTTATCAGTTTCTCAGTGAGTTCAAAAATAATCGAGTTTTACCGGCTGGCTCTAAAAATCGCAAAAGATACTGGAAACAAAGATCAAGAAGGAACTAGATATAACAACCTTGGCAGTGCATAATCTCTCAGTGAGTTCAAAAAAGCAATCGAGTTTTATCAGCTGGCTCTAAAAATCGCAAAAGATACTGGAAACAAAAATGGAGAAGGAAGTACTTATAACAACCTTGGCGTCGCCTATAATTCTCTTAGTGATTTCCAAAAAGCAATCGGGTTTTATCAGCTGGCTCTAAAGATCGCAAAAGATACTGGAAACAAAGATCAAGAAGGAACTATATATAACAACGTTGGCCTTGCCTATAAGTCTCTCAGTGAGTTCAAAAAAGCAATCGAGTTGTATCAGCTGGCTCTAAAAATCGCAAAAGATGGGAAACACAGATCAAGAAGGAACTATATATAACAACCTTGGCCTTGCCTATAAGTCTCTCAGTGAGTTCAAAAAGCAATCGAGTTTTATCAGCTGGCTCTTAAATTTGCAAAAGATACTGGAAAGAAAGATGAGAAGGAACTATATATAACAGCCTTGGCCTTTGCCTATAAGTCTCTCAGTGAGTTCAAAAAAGCAATCGAGTTTTTCACTGGCCTAAAATCGCAAAAGATACTGGAAACAAAGATCAAAAGGAACTATATATAACAACCTTTGGCAGTGCTCTATCAGTCTCTCAGTGAGTTCAAAAAAGCAATCGAGTTTTATCAGCTGGCTCTAAAAATCGCAAAAGATACTGGAAACAAAGATCAAGAAGGAACTATATATAACAACCTTGGCAGTGCCTATCAGTCTCTCAGTGAGTTCAAAAAAGCAATCGAGTTTTATCAGCTGGCTCTATAAATCGCGAAAGATACTGGAAACAAAGATGAAGAAGGAGCTATATATAACAACCTTGGCAGTGCCTATCAGTCTCTTAGTGAGTTCAAAAAAGTAATCGAGTTTTATCAGCTGGCTCTAAAGATCGCAAAAGATACTGGAAACAAAGATGGAGAAGGAATTACTTATAACAACCTTGGCGTCGCCTATAATTCTCTTAGTGATTTCCAAAAAGCAATCGCGTTTTATCAGCTGGCTCTAAAAATGGCAAAAGATACTGGAAACAAAGATCAAGAAGGAACTATATATAACAACCTTGGCCTTGCCTATCAGTCTCTCAGTGAGTTCAAAAAAGCAATCGAGTTTTATCAGCTGGCTCTAAAAATCGCAAAAGATACTGGAAACAAAGATCAAGAAGGAACTAGATATAACAACCTTGGCCGTGCCTATCAGTCTCTCAGTGAGTTCAAAAAAGCAATCGAGTTTTATCAGCTGGCTCTAAAAATCGCAAAAGATACTGGAAACAAAAATGGAGAAGGAAGTACTTATAACAACCTTGGCGTCGCCTATAATTCTCTTAGTGATTTCCAAAAAGCAATCGCGTTTTATCAGCTGGCTCTAAAGATCGCAAAAGATACTGGAAACAAAGATCAAGAAGGATCTATATATAACAACCTTGGCCTTGCCTATAAGTCTCTCAGTGAGTTCAAAAAAGCAATCGAGTTGTATCAGCTGGCTCTAAAAATCGCAAAAGATACTGGAAACACAGATCAAGAAGGAACTGTATATAACAACCTTGGCCTTGCCTATAAGTCTCTCAGTGAGTTCATAAAAGCAATCGTGTTGTATCAGCTGGCTCTTAAATTTGCAAAAGATACTGGAAAGAAAGATGGAGAAGGAACTATATATAACAACCTTGGCCTTGCCTATAAGTCTCTCAGTGAGTTCAAAAAAGCAATCGAGTTTTATCAGCTGGCTCTAAAAATCGCAAAAGATACTGGAAACAAAGATGGAGAAGGAACTATATATAACAACCTTGGCAGTGCCTATCAGTCTCTCAGTGAGTTCAAAAAAGCAATCGAGTTTTATCAGCTGGCTCTAAAAATCGCAAAAGATACTGGAAACAAAGATCAAGAAGGAACTATATATAACAACCTTGGCAGTGCCTATCAGTCTCTTAGTGAGTTCAAAAAAGCAATCGAGTTTTATCAGCTGGCTCTAAAAATTGCAAAAGATACTGGAAACAAAGATCAAGAAGGAGCTATATATAACAGCCTTGGCCTTGCCTATCAGTGTCTCAGTCAGTTCAAAAAAGCAATCGAGTTTTAGCAGCTGGCTCTAAAAATCGCAAAAGATACTGGAAACAAAGATCAAGAAGGAACTATATATAACAACCTTGGCAGTGCCTATCAGTCTCTTAGTGAGTTCAAAAGAGCAATCGAGTTTTATCAGCTGGCTCTAAAAATCGCAAAAGATACTGGAAACAAAGATGGAGAAGGAATTATTTATAACCTTGGCGCCGCCTATAATTCTCTTAGTGATTTCCAAAAAGCAATGGAGTTTAATCAGCTGGCTCTAAGAATCGGAAAAGATACTGAAAACAAATATCAAGAAGCAGCTGTATATAACAACCTTGGCGTCGTCAATCAGTCTCTCGGTGATTTTAATGAAGCGATCGAGCTTTATGAGCTGAGTCTAAGAATCGAAAAAGAGACTGGGAAAAAAAATGGAGAAGGACGTACATATATAAACCTCGGCAAGGTCTATAAGCGTCTCGGTAATTCCAAAAGAGCGATGGAATTTTATCAGCTAGCCACAAGTATAGCAAAGGAGACTGGAAACAAAGATGTTGAACAATGCGGATATGATAGACTTGCTTAAGTTCTTTGGTGTCTTGACGAATACTCCCAAGCCGAGGAGTGTTTTAAATCCTGTATTGAACTGGTAGAGGAAATGAAAGTCCTTCTTGAAGGAAACGACGAGTGGAAAATCAGCTTTCGGAATGAACGTGATTGGGTTAGTCGTTTAGTGAGACTACAGTTACAACAACGCACTGAACGTAAGACACTCGAGGCGCTTTTAACAGCTGAGAGGGGACGAGCAGAAGCTCTTATGGACCTCTTGGAATCGCAATATGGTGTCAGGAAATCGATTCGTTCACAGCCGAAACAGCAGATGGAACTTATTATTTCAAACCATATTTCGTCACCCACGTTATTTCTAATGAATGATACCCAGTCAGTGAATATCTGGATGCTGTTAAAGTGGGGAAAGCTTTGTGACTTTGTGCAACAGGAAGTTAGCAGTGATGACTTGACATCAATGACTTATCAAACATACAAACAGATTGGTGTGAACAAAAGCCTGTGGAAAAAGATTCGCCCCCAGCTGCAGAGAGAGATCGAAGACCAGGATGGTGCTTTAAAAGTATTATACGACATATTCATCGCTCCAATTTCACACTCGATAGGTGACGAACTCGTCATTGTCCCTGACGGTTCATCGTTCTTGATTCCTTATGCTGCCCTCGTGGACCAAAACTCCAGGTATTTAAATGAAATGCGTAGAATTAGATTGATTCCATCACTGACAAGCTTATGGCTGCTGGCAGAATGTCCGGAGGACCGCCATAGTTCATCCGAGGCTCTACTTGTTGGCAACCCGTGGGTGGAAACTGTACGCATCAAAGGCTGCAAACCGTTTCCACAGCTTCCAGGTGCTGAGGAAGAGGTAAAAATGATTGGGCAAATTCTACACATCGAGCCTCTCACCGGAAAGAACGCCACAAAGATCGGGTTTTAAGCGGGCGCAACTCAGTTTCGTTAGTGCACATAGCAGCTCATGGTCGTACAGAAACCGGAGAAATCATTTTGTCTCTAATTTTTTCTAGTAGTGCCAAAAGACCCAAAGAGAAAGACTTTCTTTTGACGATGGCAGATGTGTTGGATGCAAAAGTGCGCGCCAAGTTTGTTGTCTTAAGCTGCTGCAACAGTGGGCGAGAAATATCAAAGTCGAAGGAGGTGGTTGGTATTGCACGTGCCTTTTTAGGAGCCGGTGCGCGTTCTGTTATTGCCACACTGTGGGCGATTGATGACGAAGCCACTCTTGCGTTTATGAAACCTTTTTACGAACATTTAGTAGCAGGGCAAAGTGCAAGTAAGTCCCGTCATCAGGCCATGAAATGGATGAGGGAGTCGGAAAAATTCAATGCCGTGAAGCACTGGGCTCCATTCGTGCTGATCGGTGATGACGTGACATTGAATTTCGGTCAATGAAAGGTGAGATCCTCTCTGTAAGATAAGATAGAAAAATAATCACATGTTCGTAGACTGGAGAAATGAAAGGGCTTTTATCTTTGGCTCCGCTCTTAGATTTCTTGCACCTGATTGTTTGAGAGAAGGAAGCCTTTCACTTTCGGCAATGAGTACGATTGAGAAACAAACAACACGACAGAAAAGTAGTCATTTAATCCGCAGATCAACAGAATAAGAATAACACTTTGTACAACTGATGTAATAAACAACAAAATGGCAAACGAAGATGTAGCTTCATTTGAATTTTCACACCTGAGTCTTTCATTCATAGATTAAAAGAGAATCAAGAAAATATAAAAAATACAGTTAGTAAATCAAGCTTAAGAGATTTCATCTCTAAGCCGTTAACTTTTCAGAGTCTATCACCATTACTGTCTTCACTTGTTTTCGACCATTAATAAGCATTTCTTTTCATGTTCAGTTAAAGAATTATTCACGGTATAAAAATTAATGCACCCGCAGGAAGAAAGAGTATTGTGAACAGGGCAAATTCCCACCTCCTGTGGGGTACTCCTCTAAGAAAATTTGGTAAACTGTTTTTTTCTTCTGAGACTTAAACCGCTTCTCTCAAAAGTCAAATCGGAATAAAAAGATACCCAATTCCAGGCCTTTCTTCCAGGGAGCACAAATTTTAGGCTCAACTGATTTCGGGCCCAGAGTCTATACCCAATTTCAGGTCAAAAAAATCAATTTTGCTTGGGCCATCCATACTGTAAATCCTCTGTTAAATCCCCCCTCTCTCAAATAAGTTCCCCCCTCTAATAAGCCCCCCCTTCTTTTTTAAGCCCCTCTTCCCCTTCCCCCCCTCCCCTTATTATTCTTCACTAATTTATGATATAATATATTTATCAATCACAATTGTAACACTTCATGTGGACTGGTCCACGATAGTTTCTTTCACCAGCTGGACTTTCAGATTTGTTTTTCATCCTCGGCTGCATGACATACAACCATTGTACTTGAGCTTTTCCACTTTGCAGTTCTAGTTCTTTATGGGGAACTGATACCATAGTCCTTACTAAATATATGTGCCCCCCCCCCAAATTTGTTTGAAATAAATACCCGGGGGCTTAATAGAGGGTTTACGGTAACTATAGAGCTTATTTAAGGGATTAAGCCCCCAGGCACCCTACCTTAACAAAGTAGAGGAGACTAACGTGGTTGTTGCTGTCTTGAATCCATTGCAGGCCAACGAAAGAAATAGATGGATCAGGAGTTCCTGATGTACCTTTGGAATCGTCTTGACCATACTGAATCCCCACTGCGTCGCTTTCCTGCGACAGGATTAAGTGCTATCATCTTTCACTCCAGTTTAACTGGTTGCTATCCATAGCAACAGACGACAGGGAACAGTTTCAATGCAAATATCGTCTCAAATAACAAAACTGGACCATTATTTCTGGAACTTTTTGAAGACGCAAACACGCCTTTAAGCTTTCAAAAAGCAGGATAGCAGATGCGTGACATAAGCCCCTTTAACAATGCGCTGTACAACCAATCGTTCTAGAACGGACCATATGATGAGTTGTGATCAAGTGAATAGAAGCAGCTAGAATAGGTATTAAATAATTGAGTTTCAGTTTTATGAGAGCTCACAGATTTCATTTGTTATTGCTTTTAACGTGTAAAGCGAAAAATCAGTTTAGAAATGAGATGCTCATCTTAGTATTTTGGGTCGGCCAAGTTAGGTAGGACGTGTAGATTAAAAAATATGCAGTTATCCTACTACGAGAAAGTTAGCCACAATACTCATGAGATCTCTCAAGATACCCCAATCTGGGATAAATATAGTGTAAAGTATACTCAATTAAATATTCAATTTGGATCCGGACTTGCCCATAAGTTGTTTTTAATTAGTATTTACCAAATCAGTCGGATAAAAATGAGAAAAAGTACCTTTTTGTAAATTTAAAACGTCACTTAGTGGGAACTTTATTTCCAATTTACGAACACTTCAGGGATTTTGTCAAGTGCATTTTTACGATTTTGTTGCAAATTCAGCACGAAAATAATTTTCTACCTACCAGAAATCACCGCCAAAAATGAAATTTTGGCCATTTGTCAGTTTTCAGTTAAATTTAAGGGTTTTTGTGAGTTGTCAGTTAAATGATTATTAATGATTAACTATGAAACTTATTTGTATTTTTTTGATGCGAAATTTAGCTTTAAAGACACATATAATGTAATTAAAATTGATGATTAAATCCAAAACTGATGCAATAGTACCTTAATTTTTATCAGTTTTGCTATTGTTAGCATTTCAAGTGGCCCTCCATTTCTCAAGTCTTATGTTACTCCCCTCCACTCCAACGTTTTTGCTGGCCCAGAGTCCAACGTTTCCAACCATTATTCCAATCAAAATTTATCCCTTCAGAATATATTATTGGGACGTAGATCGAAAGAAAGACAGTATCTGAATCATTGCGGAAAAGACTTGAAATTGCTTTTGTAACGCCCTCATTAGCAGCCATCGTATGCTGGCGCGGTCTCAGAGGAGCGTAAATTTGAGATCATAGGTCATTTTTACCACAGATGGTAACATGACAAGGTTATTACAGTAAATCATTAACGAAATATGACACTTAAATGTCTTGCTGCTAAGATTACCCCCAAAAGACGCACATTTGATCACATTGTCTGACGAAAAGAGTGGAACAATGCTATTTAAGGCTTTAAAACGGTTTTTTTAGAAAATAAGGGACAATCAGGTCCTTCGTCAGTTGTCAGTAAAAGCCAATGAAATGTCAGTTGTCAGTTAAAATTGTCCATTAACACTCCTGCATCAGAAATATCCTAATTTGTGAAGTTTAAAAGAAGTTTATATACAACTCTTTATCCAAAACGGGCATCAGTACTAGAGAGTTCAAATATGGACAAAACGAAATACATGCATGATAAGTATACTCAGTGGAAAACGCCTGATAAATTAAATGCATTTAATAGAATTTTACTATGTAACTTTCCCAGTCCCACACCTTAATTGCGGGCGACAAGAGGAGCCCGCAATCTTAATCTCCAGGCTGTTATTAAGCATGCGTCGCATGTCCGTAGCCACGATTCGTTTCGACTTCCACTAAGAATGAATGGAATGCACAGAACGCAATTTGATCACTTGTGACTGGACCTTCTATCACTGGTGATCTGATCAGGGCGTGTGTTTTGACCGACTATCACGTGAAACTTGCCCAAAGCAAAGCGTCGGAGCAAAAGGGTAATTAATTTCGACCTTCAATCGTTGTCACCCGCACTTTGCAACCTTTTGTTATTACTAGTTGATTGTCATTCAAATACAGTAAAATATAAAATGAACGTTTAATGATGAAGCTCTCTCCCTCCCTTCATTCCTAGTATTCGAACAGAATGTAATCACGAAAGTCTAATCAAACGACTGAACCCGCGATAGCTATCGAATAAAAACACTTTAGAAAAGGACTGTGCAGTATACTGAAAAACCAGTATTTTAGATAATTAAGTAAAGAAATTAACAAATTTGAGAGTAAAACTCGTGGAAAGTCATGCAGCGATCCGTTGACTTCAATATAAAAAATATTGTTCTTTCGGTATACTTAAAAACAATAAATAAGCGCCGATATTGATTTCTATTACGTATTTATTCTTTTTAAAAATGTTTAAGGAAATTCAAATAAATTTCAGCTTAACAAATTTAATCCTTTGAAATGTTGCATTAGGGACCGTTCATTTTTACGAGATAGGGAGGCTGGTGGAATTTTTTTTAACCCCATTACGAATTACCATTTTTCCTCATGCCCCCCCCCCCGCCCCCAAAGACGGTCATTTTTGGGGTGACCCCCTCCTTTCAAAGAGACATTAGAGAGCTTAAGCAACGACGACGCGGACGGCAACGAGAACGTCAAAAAAAGCAATAGGTTTGATTAGCAAAACAACAACTTTGCACGTGCATCACGCTTTGTTTGTACATTTCTTTGCCGTCGTTGCCCGACTACATCGTGAAAGTGCCTGAATTCACGTTTTGTCGAGGAAGGGAACACAAAACAACAACTTTCTTTTCTTTTCCTGAACTTTGATAGAGTTGTTTAGAATTCAACTCCAAAAGCATTTGCCAACATTTGACGCAGTAAACGAGATGGAATAAGCGCGATAAAGTTTGAAGCGGTGCGAATTCACTTTTTAAGTGACGTTTTTGTAGCCGTCGCCGTCGTTGTTGCTTAAGCTCCTTATTATCGTAATTAAACCTCACATGCATATTTTGCAGTGTACAATATGATTTGTATTTTCTCTTCAATGTAAAGCTGTTGACAACTCATTCTACAGATGTAGCAGCCACTTCTGTTAACTCAAAAAATAAATTCTGTCCATTCTAAGGTACTTCTTCACTATTTTTCAAAGTCAAAAAGTCAATTTCCGATCTTCCGTTTATGGATCTTCCAGAGCGTGTCGTTGCTGGCCTCTCAACGTCTTCCTCGTCATCGATAAAGGCAAGGATGACATCTTCACCCCCAGAGTTGATGGAATTAAAAACTTGCAAGAGGTGACAGGCCGCACATCTTCACCTGCGTAAAACCTTTGAAAACCTTTTACATATTGCTCCATTGCGGAGAACTCTTTCAGGGATCTTACAGTTTGAAATTTAAACGATAGCTTCTGTATAGTGGACCAAGATACGGCTCGGTACAGTTTATGTTCAGCAAGGGAAAATTGTGTTAGTTGAGCAGAACCTTTAAAGTGGATATTGATACTTGTATTAATATAAATCTAGACCACCGTCCGACGTTCGCACGGGGGGCCTGGCGGGTCTTTTTGGTCATAGGGAAAAGTACACCAGTTTAGTTAAAATTACTACAACCCAGCAATAGTCACAAGATTTTTAGTAACCAATCATTATGCGACAAGTCTAGAGTGTAACAATTCTTAGAGCTGGGACAACTAGGGCTATGCGCATTTTAGTCTTTGCAAGCAGGCAAGCACTTCTATCTAGCAAGTTTCTTTTAGCTTTTCAAGTAATTTTCTTTTGATCATGGCAACTGCTTCAGACCTCAAGGCAGATCGCAGAGTCGTTAAATGTCCAGGGTGTAAAACGCCTAGCGAAGATCACCATTGGGGTATTCCCTCAAAGTTTTGCGAGGGGTTCGAGAAATCCTCGCCTAAAAAGGAAATGGAAACTTCACCTACGAGCGAAACAGTATTCTCCGCCTTGGCAGCTGAGTTAGAGTCCTTAGAACTGGAAGAAGAAGAATTGCGGCGTCAGGAGGAAGAGTCAAAATTGCGGAAACGGATAGCGGATAAGCGAAAGCTCATCGAGAGGCTCCGAAAATCTGGCTCCGGAGATGCTGCTGGTGAGGACAACACCCCCCGCTTGACAATCAAGGATCTCCCGAAGGTGGATTTCAGCGATGCTGAGGGCAGAACCCCTCTTGACGAATTTTTGGCTGGTTGGGAAGATCAGCCCCAATTCCGACCCACGGACTCGATTTGGCAGCGTGCTGGAGCGTGTGAAGGCGGCCGCGTGCAGTCATCTCACCAGCCGTCGAGTACGGAAATGTTCCTCAAACCCATGAAGACAGCGAAGGGTGAGAAACCATTGCTAATAATAGACTTTGTAAATAACATTGTCCCCCAAGAACAGGAAGAGACCTTGGGCAACCAAGGAAGTGCTAAAATTGTGGTGACTTATGGGCCAAAAAAGCCAAAATTAGAGTCCATTTCTATCCCACAGTGGGTGGTTGCGAACACTCGTATTTTTTATACCCTACTCTCAGAGGGCAAATTATCTACTCAATCGGCTATTCAGGATTATCTAGCCTACACGGTCAAAATAATGGAATTGATAGCTAGGTACGATTGGAAGTCCATTCTTATGTACGATAATGAGTTTAGGAAATTGCAGGCTATCTATAAGTTTTCATGGAGTTTTGACTCCACACATTTGCATACGGTTTTACTTCAGCCCATTTATAAACCTAACCCACCCACTGCCACTACTAAACCATCTGCTTCTAATACCAACCAGCGCAACGCCTTTGCCAGCTTTACGCCAGATGGTAGGGTTATCTGCCGCAATTTTAATGGGCCCAGGGGTTGTACACTCCCAAATTGTAATTTTGCCCATGTCTGTAATCGTAAGATTGCAGGGAAGGCTTGTGCCATGTCTCACCCCGGGTTCTCTCACAAAGTTGCCGACCCTCCAAGCGCGCAAACACCGCAATGACTACCCCTACGTAAATTAAGTAATAGTCCCCTTAACCGCAATCTTTGGCTGTTAGAATTAAAGTATGAAGAGGATAACGCTTTCCTCAGCGACGGCATATGCAATGGCTTTAAACTGGTTGAACCAGGCACTCGCTTTTCTGATGTTGACATGGATAATTATAAATCTGCGACTAATCCTGTCAACAGACCCATGGTGGAACAAACTATTCGTCAAGAAATAGCATTAGGCAATTATGTAGTGTTGCCTACTAAGCCGCGCATCGTAAGTGCTTTAGGAGCTATTCCTAAACGCAATTCCCCTGAAATTCGCCTCATCCATGATTGCTCTCGTCCGCACGGACAGGCTGTAAACGACTACATCACTACTAATTCGTTTAAATTTCAAACTCTTGACGACGCTACTACATTACTGCAGCCAAACTATTATATGGCAAAAATTGACCTCCGGCATGCATACCGCTCTGTTCCCATTCACCCCGACAATTATAAAGCAACCGGGTGCAAGTGGCAATTTCTTGGTGATCATAGCTATACTTATTTTTACGATACTCGCCTGCCTTTCGGAGCCAAAAGCTCACCGGAAATCTTTCATCGCATAACGCAATCGGTCCGCCGTATGATGGCCAGACGAGGGTTCCCTAACATCATCGTTTACCTTGACGATTTCTTAGTGATTGGAGCCACACGGGAAGAATGCCAGCTTGCATACGACACGCTTTTTCAACTGTTGATCGACCTCGGTTTTACCCTCAGTGAGCATAACCTGGTGCCGCCTACTCAGCGCTTAACCTTTTTAGGTGTTGGAACTCGACACCATGGCTGGCACTATGACCTTACCGGCGGATAAACTGGCAGAGTTACACATCGTCGTCCTCGAATTTCAAAACAAACAACGTGCGAGCAAAAAACAGCTGCAACGGTTAGCCGGCAAATTAAATTGGGCATGTCGTGTCGTTTATGGGGGCCGTACTTTTCTCCGCCGTATTCTTGATACCATGAATGCGTTGAGCCCTTCTGAGAAATTCAGATTAGACTCCTCTTTTCGCAGCGATATCGCCTGGTGGGTGAATTTTCTACGCATCTTTAATGGTACTAGGATGTTTCTAGATCACTTGGCGACAGTCGACGTGTCCACTGATGCATGTCCCGTTGCAGCGGGTGGCTATTTCAGAGGTGATTAGTTCTATCATCATTTCTCGCTGGACTCCCCAGAATGGCAGAACTTTAACATAAACCACAAGGAGACCCTGGCAATTGTACTCGCCGCACAACGCTGGGGTCCATTGTGGTCCCACCAACGCGTGGTTATCCATAGCGACAATCAAGCTGCTGTGCAGATAATCAACAAAGGAATCACCGCCAGTCCTGTTGTCATGAACGCCTTGCGCAAGCTATTTTGGCTTTCGGCCTCTCTCCTCCGCAGAGGCCTCTTTGTATTGTGGGGAGGCTTTTGTGCCGTTTCCCTCTTCCCATCGTCCCCCGCGCGCTTTCTATTTTTTATACCCAGCGGGAGCCTCTGCGGAGGAGAGAGCCGCAACACCTACTTTCGCTTCTGCAATCACATAGGCTACACACCTGTTCCTGTGCAAACACCACATCTTCTTCAATATGCCGCCTTTTTGGCTCGTTCGCTGAAACCACAATCTCTTCGTGGCTACCTAAACATTATTGGTATTTTACATAAGGAGTTTGGCTTCCCCAACCCTTTGATCGACAACTGGCCTCTAAAATCTTTGCTCACTGGAATTAAGCGCGCCGTAGGTGCCCCGCCTAATCAAAAACTACCTATTACTGAGGCTATACTTTTGCGTCTCCATTCTACGTTAAATTTTACCCTCAGCTTCGATGCTTCATTTTGGGCGATCTGTTTAGTCGCATTTTTTGGCATGTTTCGTAAGGCGCACTGGTTACCTGTTTCCTCGGGCAAGTTTGATTCTAGCAAGCAGCTTACCAAAGCCGACTTTCGGGTTTTTCCCTGGGGTACACTCATCACTATTCGCTGGAGCAAAACTATTCAATTTCGGGAACGGGTGGTAGAAATACCCTTACCATGTATTCCCCGCAGCAGGTTATGCCCGACCACCGCCATTATTCATGCCTTTAGCTTCACCCCTTCTACCCCAGACAGCCAAGCCTTCAACTGGGTCCCAACCCCTTCATCCGACCCACAGATTTTTACCTATGCATTATTTCTACGTAAGCTAAGGGGCCACCTTTTCCTTATTGGTGTCGATCCTAAGTTATATGCGGGTCACTCTTTTGGTCGCGGGGGGGGCGTCTTTTGCTTATCAGTCTGGCGTTCCGATAGAACTTATTAAAGCTTTAGGCGACTGGCGCTCGGATACCATCCTCATCTATCTAACCATGCCTCTTACTATCAGACTCAAAACAGCTAACATGCTTTGTAAATCCATTTTGTCTCACTCCACCTAATCTTAAAATGTACAGCAGACAATTTATTCAGTTGGCGCGTATTCCTGTTGAATTTGTAGCCCGTTTATGAGATTTGTCTACTCAAAAATATAATAATTTTTCCAAAGCTGCTGTAATCTTAGGGTATCTGCTTTTAATATTTCCGTAAAGTTTAGGTTTACGCGATCTCAGAGAACAATATTCAGCTGACAGCACGTAGACCAGCACGTAGTCTTTAAATATATCCACATCTGACACTGGTTTTGTGTATTTATCACGTCTTTAGTAGAAGCGTGATTTAAATACATTATGATGCTGTGTCCTTTGAATGTCGCTTTGAAACTCAATCGCTTTGTAAATGTGACTAGTAGTTTTAATATCAGAGGAGAGTATTTTAAAGCTCGATATTTTTCAATACCATTAGGATGTTGTTTTTTTACCAATCAGTTGACTGGCTTCTTTGTGCAACTACATAATGTCTGCAGTTAAATATAAGTTTACAAGCAAGACCGGTGATTTCGAATCTTACGATTCTCATCAGTTGCTATGTGGTGGGATGGTTTAGGTGAATTCTGAACCAGTCCGTATTGCTTGATTTGGTAACCGTTTATGATCCTCCCTGGTTTGTTTGGAGGATCTAAAATGATGCGGTTTGATTGGTTCCTTGCAAAAAAACAATCAAAATGAGAAAGAATGGCGAAAGCGACCTGTCTTTCAAGAATAGGTTCACTGCCGAAAGATCGCGGTAATTTGATCTTTTGCAATCGAAAGAGGTTGCCGACCAAAATGCAGACGGCTGCTCGAAAAGAGCATGTGAATTTCTCAAGCCAGGATATCAGCTTAAGCCCAGTGATGGCAGGAGATTGAACTCTTCGATTAAAGAGCACCAAAGTATGCTTGGGAAACTGAAAAGCGTAGTGAAAGCCTTGAAAGAACATGATTCTACGCTTTTCCAGTCTAATGGACTTATCTTGAAGCAGAAGAATTTGCTCACTACTTCAATGTAAAGCAGATCAAGTGCGTCGAGAGGCTAAGGTGCAAAAAGGTAACGCGGGATACAGAGACACTAGAAGAAAGTAAAGACAGTTTTCGTAGCATTTTCAAGGGCCTACATAGAGACATCAGCAAGGGAAGAAGAAAAAAAGAAAACCGTCGAAAATCGAATGCAAAAAAAAGAAAAGGTTTGAAAACAATGTTCAATGAGTGTATAGTATTTGTGTCGGAAACCCGCTTAATAATGATCTTCCGAAATGTCTTCTGTATCCTCCTTGCCTTGCCGTCCCTGAAGGATGCATCGACGTTGAGAAAGTTTCCGAATTGCTTTTTAATCGAGAAACGGCATACATTGCACAGCTCTTGCAAGGAAACCATTTCAGCAACGCCGCAGGAAGCAGAATTATCACAGACCTCAAGTCGGAGGTTAGAGATAACGTGTACTGCTTCATGTACCCTGAAGAGTATGCTATGACTGAAAACGACGAAAGCGACTCTAGCAGCAGCACGAGCGATGAGGAAGAGCTTGGCAATGATGACGGAGAGGAACATGAGCAGAGAGACGTTGCACAGCACTAACCTGATAAAGAATCTTCTAATGATAGTTTCCTAGCTTTGAGAATTGTTGTCGTGGAACTGAACGCTGTAATGTAAACGCAGAACAAAAGTTTTTGATACATTTATATACCTTTTGCTTGTTTCTGTATATGTAGTTTTATTTAGTAATAAAACATCTTGTCAACTCTACATGAACTAAAATATTTCGCGTGACCCCCCTTCCGTCCATTTTTTTTGGGGATGCCCCCCCTTTAAGTCGTTTTTTTGGGGGGGGTGACTCCCCCCCTCCCCAATCCCACCAGCCCCCACTACCTCGTAAAAAATTAACGGTCCCTTATTAACTTGCGGTGTGCTTAAGAAGGGCAGGGTTTTTCAGTAATGCCACAGAAAGCAAAGCCTTTGCATATCTGTGTTCAATAAACAAGACAGCAAACGCCTGCATTTGTTTTGTCTTTTGAGATCAAGGACTTTTTTCATTATCTTTGCTGCAATGTTTTCTAAGTTATTTTTGGAGAGATTTATACAGGAGACGAAAGAAGTCTATTTAGAGCAAAAAAAAGAAACAAACAAACAAAAAAGAAAAATGCCAACACGATTTCCAATATTTTTCCAAGTAAACCTTTCGGTTAAATAGTTCTTAACGAAATAAAATTAACGAGAGGTTTGTTTAGGCTCATTTTCAGCAGCAAAAGTGTTTCCAGTGCGCACCTTGCTACTGTTTTGTCAAAAGTATGTTATATACCCCTTTATATCTAGCCGATAGTTTCTTTCTGATTCGATAAGTTAAGGAAAAACTCTGAATACAGTTCCGTCAAAGTTCGTGTTTCTGGTACTCTGCTATTGGAGCCAAGACCGAAAAATGGCAGGTTAGGCTTGCTCTTGTTCAGAGACTAAGCAACTGCGGAAGATGGTTTTTCATACCCTCCATGCACCAGAGCAAGACTGACTTAAACTATTTAGATTCAGCACGAAATTGTGGTGGCCTAGATTTGTAGTCTAGTATGTACTTTATTAGTAAATCTGATTGCAATAGCT